ACTGAACCAGAGTAGCTAGGTGTCTTTTTTGTATAATTTTTGGTAACCAGTTTTACCTTTATTCCCGGCTATGGAAATTTGTGGAAATTGCAATTTCATTAAGCACCTTTTAAAATGAACGAAAATTGATCTGTATTTTCGGTGCAGAATAAGTGAGCCTATGTATATATTTAATAGGTAGATATTGGTAAGTCAGATTTTCGGATTTTCATGATTGTATTAATTCGGTTCAAATTTACCTTTTAAAAGGTTTGGGTGGGAAAAGTTCATAGGAATATTGGTGTGGCAGAGGAAGTGGTTTATATTAACTTGTTTAAAACTTTATTCCATTTAAGTTTAAAAGGAATGAAGATCAATTACATTAAATATTATCTGTATTTTGAGTACAACATAAACATATTTAATGATATGTGATGGCAAGGAATAAGGGACAAGTTCTGCAAATTCTTCGGGTTCTTTTTCAAATTCGTTTTCAATAGCTGTTGAGTACCGAAAAATCGGAGAGTGAATTTTGTGCCTAGGGAAGTGGAGGGGGTGTGGGGAGGCCCTAATCAAGTTGCTCAAATGTCAGCGGGCATTAAGGCAGTTCGAGTGCCCCCGCCTGTCAGGCCATCACTTTTGTTATCCCGGCAATTGACAACTTAACGATGCCTCGGCTGCTCCTTGAATGGCGTGCTCAAAACATTATCACGCACAGCGGGACAAGTCGTTGGATCCTTCGCCATCGCCATCGCCTTTTCTTGGATGGTTCCTTCGTTTGGTTTTTGTTTCGTTTCGTTTGGTTTGGTTGGGGTGTGTGTGTGTGTATAAAAAAACCATAAAAATGTAAAAGACAAAGGACATGTGATTGCCGGCAATGTCCTGTGCGTCCCCTTCGCCCTTCGCCCGAATATGTGTGTTTAATAAAAAAATTATGAACTTCAATTACGGCGGAGAAAACGCGGGTTTGAGGCGCCGCAGCGAGTGCATAAAACGCTGAACAAATAGCAGCAGCCAGGATAACAGGGCCATGTGTGTAAGTGTTTGTGCATGTATGTGTGTACTACATGTATGTGTGTAAGTGTAAGTGTTTGTGTTTGCATAACATAATTCTTTCTGGCAAAGTTGTAAACCCAAAACGAGGACGTGTCATGAAGTCGGCGGAAAGGGAAATGGGAAATGTGTGGTGGTGCGATACTTTTACTTTTTACCTAAGTAAGCTGCGCCGCTTATGTGGCAAATAATACGCTTTGATTTAGGAAATGGCAAGGCACTTGAGGATACCCATTAACTAATTTCGGAAAATACATTTTTTTGTATTTTCCATTTTTTTGACATTTTTTGACAAACAATATTTTGCTAATAAAACATTTTTTTCCTTATCAAAGGTAGAATAGAAATGATAAGCTTGCTAAATGTATGACTAGGAAAGCTGTAGAGTATTAGAGCTGTACTAAGAGATCCTTTTCATTACTGGTGTTGTGTTATCTGTTCGTGGATGTGAGTGTGCAAGGCAGAGTGTAAGTGTGGGTGCGCGAGTGTGGGTGATACGTGCATGTGAATGGCGGCCATAAATCAGCTGACGACAGCCAAGGGCAGACGGGCGGGATCAGGAAAGAGAGGGGAGAAAGGGAGAAGGGAAAGGGCGGGGGGGAGGGGGGAGGGGAAAAGGGAGAAGGAGCGTGAGTCTGTGTCACCCCAGAAAGCTGACGGTTCGCCAGTAATTGGCTTGCAGCCACCAAAGTCCTTGGGCAACCATGCCTACCCCACGTTCTTTCACCTCTCCCCACCCCTCACCACCCGACTCCACCACCCACCCAGCAAAAAGAAAAAACAGGCAACCACCCAGCAACCCACCATCCAACCATTCCACCATTCCACCATCCCACTTGCTCATCAGCATAATCGTCGGTGTAATCGGCGCGCGAAAAGCGCTCTTTCGTGCCTGCAACACACAACTCGCCTCCGCCGAAATAGGAAAGTGCCACCGGTTCAGGGATCACGGATGCCAAAAATGCCACTTAACACTTAACACTTAGCAAATGTCGCCGTCGCCGTCGCCGTTGCCGTTGCCGTTTTGCTCCGCATTTCGGCCATTTCCACATTTCTCGTCTGCTTTCTCCACTTTCTCGCATTTCCCGTGTGCACTTGCTTTGTCTGCCGCCATTTTCAGTTTACATTTAATTATTTGAATTATGAAAAGCATAGGTACACTGTAAGGGGGGAAATCCAGGAAAAGGCAATGGCCTAACTATTATTATATGATCGTTTTTCTTTGTTGAAAAAGGAAGTGGTTTCTGAAACGAACTATGCTTACAAACTATTATTTTTGGTTTTTATTGGTTTTTTATATCTACATTCAGATTGCTTCCCTTGGCTTGTGTTGATTCTGTTATTGTTTATTACAAGTACTTTTATTATTAACTGTTACTACCTTATATATTAAAAACAGTTCTGTATATACAACTGGAATATCCCTTTGATTATATACGAGTATTATGTGAATTTCTGGCACAAACAGACTGTCTTTTCTTGTGTCGCCTGGTTGTTTAATTTCTCCACTTCTATATTTCTCGATTTGTGCACTTGAGCTCGCGTTCCCCTTTTCGCCAGCAAATCTGCTGACAGCCAGTGAACAGTTGTGTCTGTTGCAAGTTGCAGGTTGCAGGTTGCTGGTGGCACATTGCAGGTGGCACATAGCACACAGCACATAGCACATAGCAAATAGCACACAGAAGGTCGCAGGTTGTTGGTTGGAGTTGCAGGTGTCTGGGATTTCAGGTGGCTGACTTCTGGCTGCAGGTGGCATTTCGTGGATGGTCAGTTTGCAGGATGTCTGCTGGTTGCTGGTTGCTGGTTGCTTGTTGCTGTTTGTGTTCAAGGAAGCTGCCAAGTCTCCGCTTTCGGGGCGAAACTTATCTGGCCAACGGCACTCGTGCCTCAATTTGCTGCCCCCTGGCAATTATCGAAGATACGAGCAACGAATTTCCCTGGCCAAACAGCACGGAATACCGAGTGTTACATAAACTGCTTACAGAACAGCAAACAAGATACTGGGCCATATAATATGGGCGTTTATCATTTAATTAATTGCCTTTCGGAGCCATTTTCATTAAGTAATTTTCGCCTTTCGCTGTTGTTTGCTCTCCGCTTCCTCGCCTCGCCTCGTTTTTCTTCTTTTTTCTTTTTTCTTTCCTTTTTTCTTGTTTTGTGTTTCCCCGTTCTTTGTTGCACTTCCCTTCGGAGGAAAAAGGCTGTGGGAAAACTCACGGGAGGCGGAGCAACAGCTGCGGACTCGCCAGTTTGTATATGTGCTTATTGGTTCTGCACAGGAAAAAAAACAGTGGTCTTTAGTTGGAAAAAATCTAGGGGAACTACAGTATTATGTTTGAAATGACATCACTTCTTAAAGAAAATTGTTATATCGTTTTTATGTTACTAAATCGCATTTAAATATTTTTTATTCAAAGTATTTTAATGATCCTTCATTGCATTAGTTTTTTTTCTTTTCTGAATGAATGATTAATAAACTTATTAAAATCTTTCAAGTGAATATTTAACTTTTTAAAGTCAGCTGTTTTGTTTGCTTTGCAAACGTCGTGAAAATTGAAAAGTGCTTATCTGGCCTCAAATATCTAAAGCATCCTTAAAATTTTTTCAATGAAAACCAGTGTTTTGAGTAATGGATATGGCAATAAGGAAGGTAAAGCTTTTTTCAGCGTGCCCATATGTGTGTTTTTTTACTTGTATAAATATGTTTATATATACGTTTGTTGGTCCTGGCGAGTCTGCATGCCTGTGTGTGTGTGTGTGTACGTGTGAGTGTGTGTGTGTGAGGGAGTGAGAGTGTGTGAGTGAGTGAGAGTGTGTAGAGTGAGCCGGCTTTCGATCGGCTCCAAATTGCCACTCGTTGTAAAGTGGCAATTAACGCCACATGACGCTGTCAACAAATGGCCCTTTCTAGGCATTACACACCCGCACCCAAACATACCCACACACCATACACACCATACACACCATACACACCAAACACTCCCCCACACACACACACACAAAGAGAGATATGTGGGGCACTTACAGCACTTGTTAAGTGCATTTTTCAATGCCCCCAGGGGTTTATTTTTCATTTTTTTGGAGTGAGCTCAAAGGCTTTGAGCGGCGGAGTCGATTGTACTAATTTTAAAATTATTACTTGAGACACGACAGCAACACGAATGCATTTCCCAGGAAAAGCGCTCGGCTGGGCTGTGATCCGCAGAAAGCATAAGAGAGGAGTAGAGTCCGATAACAAAGCCATTTTCCAACCGTTCGAAGGCCACGCCCACCTGTCATTCGGAGTCATTCGAGGGCTGGGATTCCGGAAATGTGGGCGAATTGCTGCGGAGGGGAGACGGGCTCTTTGTAATTTCGGACATAAGCCTGTCACGGCTGTCATGTCGTTATTGCCATTACTGCTCTCTGCTCAAAAATTATGGCTTGTTTAGTTAATTATAGAGCAGTCAGTGGGAAAACCCGAATGTGGAAAGCCCATTAAAAAGGTCAATGGGGAAAGGGCCCGTTCGCTTCCCATTTGCCGAGTGTGAATAGATAAGTTTTATTGATTGCCAAAGATGGAGGCATTGGAAAAGAGAAAAGAATAAAAGGTTCTTAGTTTAAAATACGATTTAATGGAAACTGAATTTAAGTGCAAAGAATTTTCTGTTTTTTATTTAAAAGGTTTGGTAGAACAATATTAAACAATAAACCAAAATCGTATTAAGTAAGTGTTTCGATACTTATATCGATATAATACAATAAGACAGAGTCGTAAATTTATTTGCTTCTGACTTAACTCTGGTCACTCTAAGACTTGCTCCTTTTATGAAGTAAAGTATATAAAGGAAACTTTCCTCATTACTTTATATTCCCCCAAAGAACCGAGTACTTCCTCCCTCGCAAGTGTTAAATTAACTCAGTTCCCCCAATGCGCGCTTTCTTGTCTGGAAAACCCAACTAAACGCGATCCCTCTCCGCTTTTTCAGGCTCCACGGACGGCGCCTCGAAGCGCTTCTTCACGGACTTCCTGCAGGACCTGCCCACTCCGGGAACCGGAGGACCCACCTTCGACACGACCATCGGCACCAACATCACGGGACTCGTCGGCAAGACGGTGAAGCTGACCTGCCGCGTCAAGAATTTGGGCAATCGCACGGTGAGTACGCAGCTAAATGTTTCGGGAAAGCGGGCTGCCAGCGAACAAGTGGATGCCGGGCATAATTTACATAATACTCCTCTGGATAATAATTTGAAAGTACTTGACCAAAAAAACAAAAAAAAAAAAAAAAAAAAAACGAAAAAACAAGAGTAAGGAGTAAGGAATTCAAAAAGTAAAAGTTTACCAGCGCAGGCAAACTTGTCAAAAGGCGTTACGCTCGACAGGGCGGCAAGTGCAGCTGCATCGTGCAGCTTGCCACGCCTCCTTAATGCTACTCCCCACCTTCGCCAACCCCCTTTTCCCAAAAAAAGAAAAATAGTTGGGGGCGTGGCAATGCGCTGACGGCAGCTGTCGCCTGTCGTTTTCGGTTTGGATTTTCGCCAGTGGGGTTAAGTGAAAAGTTGTAAGCCCCGCCAACCGTCCGACCGCCCGGCTTTTCATTATGAAAATGCAGCTGCGAAACGCGCGGAAAATGCAGTTGCAGCTCAGCGCGGCGTGGCTGTTGCAGCTGTTAAACAATTAGCAAATTAAACTTTGAACTTTCAACTCTGCCAGCCGGCGAGCGAAATCAGAAAACAATGCCAAAACAAAGCCGAGGCGAATGTTTCACTCGGCATTCCATTTCATTCCGTTCGCTCGTTCTATTCTGTTCTGCTCTGCTCTGCTCTGCTCTGCTCAGTTTTCCCTCTGCCGCCGCTTTTCCGTCCGCAATCCTCCTCAGTTGTAGTTGCAGTTGCAGTTGAGTTTAGTTTTTTCGGTCGGTACAACGCTGCGTATGAGTGACGCGACTCCCCCGCCTTTTAGCAAGTTTCCTCAAGTGTCGCGCGGCCGTAAAACTTTCAAAATTTTTACGCTCCGCTGGCTTATTAGGTGAGTGGCGTCCTGCAAGTCCTAGTTCGAGTCCTGCCACTCCACCTACCCCCCTTTTCCCCTTTTCCCCTCTTCCCCTAAAAGCTCGCTGTTGTTGTTGGCCAAAAAATTAAAAAAAAAAAAGCAAAAGTTTTCGCTTCCCGTTTTAATTTTAGTTTGACAAAGTGAATGAATGACTTGAAGCTCGAGTTCCGCTCACAGTGCACACTTATTTTTGGGGGAAGGAAGGTGGGAGGGAGGGGGTTGGTGGAAAATGGAGGCACTCGTCCTGGAAAACTCTCTCGCTCTCGCTGTGAATGCGATTTTGTCAAGCGGCTTGTCGGCGGTTTTTGGACGCGTCCAGCTAATTAAGAGCATCACTCAAACAAGCGCCAATTAAGTAGCAGTGCTCTCTGCAAATCAATTATTCCCCAACTATCAGAAACTATCAGGTTACAACGGTAGAACTTCGGGGAAAATTACCTCCGAAGGGCATTTCATATCAAAAGCCGTCAAAGGTTGTTTATTATTCTTGGTTTGATTGTGGGGAAAAGTTTTTCGGGTATTAGTTTACAAAGAAAATCACCTTGAAGGCTTAAAGGCTTAAAGGCTGTAAGCGGTTGAAATGTTTTGAAATTGCAAAAAAAGAAAAGGTAGAGCTTTTTAAAGATTTAATCAGTTTAAAGATTTTATGTTTGCTTGAAAGTTATGAACCTTCATCAATCGAAATAAATCAAATCCCCTATTAAATGCTTAAATAATACTTTTCATAACTCAAATTTCAACTCTCCAACCATTAAAGCCCATCAAATCGAAATAATTATCACTTTATTAAGCTTTGTTTGCCCACACAAGTAATACCTGCCAGCTGACTGGCAGATTTCGGAGAAGACTTATTGTTTTCCGTTAGCAAGTAATCATATACATATTACTGGGCGAATTCCCAACGTGATATATGCATTTGCCGCACCGTCTACTTTCGATATACTGATATACCGACATACTGATATACTGAGTTGAGTGCAAAGTGCGTCGGTCATCGAGGCTGATGAGCTGGCTAAATACTGTGTAATTAATCACGAACGAGGCAGCTAGCCATTTATTACTCGAACCCATTCCTCAGATATACTATATAAGTGGATTTCCTCCCAGACGCCTAATTACTCACCAGACGTTAATGCATGAGTTATATCGTCACGAGTTGGGTTCGGTTTGGGTTTGGTTCTCCAGGCGATCCAGTGCAGCTTGCACATGTCGCTTAATGGCAATAATTTTCCATGCGATTTAGCAATTTCGCCAGCGAGTTTTTATGCAAAACAATAAGTGGCGCCGTAAAGTATGGACTATGCTGTACACTCTCCGCGGCGAAATTCAATTTCAAGTCCTGCGAAGAAAACGCTAAAGGATAATTTATTCGGCTGCTCTGTACTTTTGTTTTAAAGTGGAAGCAATTGCTCGTTTTATTTATTGCATTTTGCAGAAGCATTTTTGGTTTAATTTAATGGACCCTTGAGTTCTTTTCCAAAAGAAGGAATCCGTTTTATTGCTAATTGTTTATTATGCTTACACAACTTTAAACTATGTGGAAACGAGTTAATTATGAACTAACTATATGTGCTGTGCTGCAGCATTTGAAAAATTTCCCCACAAGCATTTTCCCTTTTCCACATGGAGGTGATGAAGATGAAAGTTTCCCCCCAGTTTCCACACACACATCCTTTGTGTGTTGGGCCAATTCCTGCGAGATTCCGAATGCGGAATGCCGAGGCAATCAGGCGACATTAAAATTTCCCTTTGCAATTCATTAGCAAACGCGAATTGGCGGCAGCCGAGTGTTTATTAACAAAGCCTCCACTTAACTTTGCGCGGGTGGTTTTCGCTGGGTGGTTGGGTGGTTTCGCCTTATAGAGATAAGTTGGTGGAGCTCACTGAAGGGTGGAGCGTGTCATTTGCGGTCTTTGAATGGCGACGACCGCAAGTCAAGGTTTCTTCGACACCGCAGAATGTCAATGGGTGTTGCATGCATCTCTGCAAAATTGGAGAAAGGGGCATTTCAATGAGTGCTCCAAATTCTCACTGCATGTAGTTCATTAGTGTATAATTGTGAGCGTATATATGTGTGTGTGTGTGTGTATGGGTGTGAGTGTGAGTGGGGGTGTAAGAGTGTGGCTGAGGAATGCGCATCGATTTGCATCAATTGAATTGTCAATACCCCTGAGCAATGACCGCAGCCACAGAAGGAGCAAGGCAACGACATCGTGGCCATGATGACTGCAAAGCCAAGTTACAGTGGCCAAAAAACGACCTTACTCCTTATAACAAATATTGATCTGGTTATTAGCCCGGGAGGAATTGAATTGAATTGAATTGCAACTGGGAAGAACCATTTTAAACCCTTTAGTTAATTAAGAATAGTTTTCCACATAATTATTACAAATAACTTAGGCTAAGTTATAATAAGAAAGTTCTTCGTTGGTAAATTTTCAGTTGTATTTCAAATTGAATTCAAACAGAAGAAACTTTAATATATTTTTTAGTTCACTGAATTTGTTAAATGGTTTTCCGAATGCTTCGAGTGGCGAAAGCCCACTGTTCGAGGGGCAATTTCAGTGTGGCTGGTCAAAAAGTGACTCCCCTTCGGTGGCCGGGTCACTGCAATTTAAATTGTTGCGGTTGATTTTACAAGTAAATTGTCACTGCCAGTTGTAGCAAAAACCTTCTGAATTCGGACTGTGGACTGCGGACTGCAGCAGTCGAGCCTTTTGACCCGCAACAATTGAAAATGCAATTTAGCGTGTGAGGTTTCGCTGCTCCTCCCTGCGATTCCCTTCGTCCTTTTCCGTTCCGTTCTGCTTTTGCCGCTCCACAGGGTCCTTCCATTCCCCCATTTTTTTCTGTTTTTTTCTGCACTTTTTTTTTGGTTTTTGTCCCATATCCAATCTTTGGCCCTTTTGTTTTGCGAATGGACACCGCAGAGGGTCCATCACCTGCGCCCCTCGTTTTCCCTTTCTTTCGGGGGAGGACCGCTGCGATTTCGATGCGTTTCGTTTCGCTTTTATATGTGGCCGGAAAACAGGAACCATCTGCATTGATGCACAGAAAAAAATATGTTTTTATAAGCCTACAAATATTTTTAATAGTAATTCTGCCACTTAACAGAATAGAATATGAATTATATCTACGTATTATAATCATATAAGATAAACATATTGTATTGCATTTTTTTGTGATCTAAATACCAAAAAAATTCAAATAACTAACACTTATTTCTCAGTGCACCCCCACCGGTGCCAGTGAAAAAAGTTTTCTTTCCCTTTTCCAGTTTTTCGCTTTGGTGAAAGTCAAAGCCTTCCTCAACGCACAGAAATAAATTTAAAAATTGTGTTTCCACTTTTTGTTCTTCCTTTGCCTCCTGTGTGTGTGTTTGTTGGTGTGTGTGTGTGTTTTGGTCGGTGTGTGTGAGTGCCACGCCCCCTCCCTTTGACTGTCTGTTTGTTTGTGCAATTGCACTGTGACTAAAAGCAACTCTCGGGGCAACAGAATCTGGCAGAGAAATAAAGAAGAACTTTCGGCTTTGGCCCGAAAAAAAGAAAGTTAAGGAATGTCAACCGAATGACCCCACTCTCCATGCCCCCCAAAAATATCCGTATCTGTGTCTCGTTTTCTTTGCGCCAAAAAGGGAATTCGTAGTGCATTCATTAAATTAGTTTTAATACGCAGCCAGCGAAATGTCGAAGACTCATTAAAAAATCAACTTTTCTTCTTCCCAGCGAAAGAAAGTGCTTCCCGAAAGTTTTTCTGGGGCGGATATTTGAGAGGGGAAAACGCTTTAAACACACTGATTGCCACGCCCATTCGACCACGCCCTCGCAATCAAAAAATCAGAAGAAAATAAGTATGTTTGAGCGAAAAAAATCACATTTCTCTCGAGTTGTAAGCGTGTGTTGTCATCGCTTTTCTTTTTGGGTTTGAATGTAAGGGCGGAGTCGGTGGCAGTGGGCGTGGCGCCCCGCTGGCTAAAAGCAAATCAATCAAAGAAATGTTTAATATTTTTCGCTATGCGCTTCACGGGGCGCGCTGTCATCAAATCCAAGCGAACGAGCGAGAGCGAAGCTGAGGCTGAAAGTCGAAAAGCCGACCAGCTGCCA